TGAAAATGCCTTTTAACTCAGAAAACAGGTTCTGCAAGAATAGTCTTTAGCCAAGAAATTTCTCATATTCAAAGTGTGTTATAGATTCAAAGGCAACATCTATTCTACAAGGAATAAAAAGGGATATCCCCTCCTCTAATGGTCAAATGAACAGAAGATTGTTAAATGCAAGGCTGTTTACAATTTACTCTTATTCTTTAGCATTGTTCCTAATGGCTACACATCAGCTATGGGTCAAAGCAGCAGCTTTGAGAGAAATTAAAGATTTTTGGAGAGTTTAATCTTGCAGAACGACTACACAGGAAGAGTATAGCAGATGTTAAGAGTGGCTCCATGCTTCAAGAGCTAAATGCTATTCCCATTTCAATAGTTAGTAGTATCATTGCTTACAGTTTGCACAAGATACAGTATTTAAAAATGCCACCAGCTCACTTGTTGGTCACCCCAAACAACAAAATCTACAGAGGAAGAGTAGCCCAACTTATGGCTGATATTCAGGCCTCCATATTAGCAACTCTGTTTAGGTCACAAAAATTACCCCTTTTGTCACGAGACTATGAAGGATTAGGATTAGGACAGGATAACAACTCTACATATAAGAAGGAATGGGTTAGCTTAGTCTTTAAGTGGACTGTACCAGAGTCCCAGTTTCATAGTCTTCCTCATTTCTCAGCCAAGTGTGCTTCTCTCCCTGAAGGTAAATCAAAACTAGCGATACTTCTTTGTGCCTTTTAGTTTTTTTCTTCTAGTATCATAAACACCTCTGCTTCTTTTCAAGAATAAAACAAAACTCTTGTTCTTTACCTTGATAGAAAGCCAGAGAGAACACCACCAGCAATACCCAACTCTTCCATGAGCCTTCCATGGTCCTGGTGTCAACCAACTCTTCGGTGATGATGCCTGCCTCTCCTCTAGAACAAACAACCCCAAAAGAAGCTACAAGATGGGGAGTACTTAACACCCACTAAAGATTTCACAAATCACCATTTACCACACCCATGTAATTAATTTGCATCATTTGTAAGTGCATGAGTACTCCCAGCTGAAAGAAGCAACTCCAGTTTCTGCATAATAGCCTATTTGCTGCCAGCTCACAAGGATGTACCTTCTTTCCTTTCTCCCTGCTACAACTGAGGACTAAGGGAAGGAAAATGATTCAAGACGCTATGTGGTTATAGACAGGTTGGGATTCCAATTTATTATGTGTTGTCAGACCCCAAAAGCGATTCTCTGTTTACATCATAAAAAGCATTAAACATGATAAAAAGGGATAAAATCAGCATACAATAAGTCAATTAAAAAATACAGTAATGGAGCAAGTAGTGCTGGCAACCATTTACCCTCAAGATGCTCTCTGGAACAGCTTTGTCCTTAACAGCTTCTGGAAAGCCTACAGTGAGGCTGTTGATCCACATTAAGTTTTGGGAAACACTGTGAATCTGGTTCTTCAAAACACTGGTTTAGACATTAAAAATAGCACTTTGAATTGAATTTGATCATGCAACAACCATAAAACATCTGTACGACTACAGCAAAGTAGGAACTACTCTTTTGCAGCTTGCAAAAGAGATTTGGATGAGAGTGGTACTGCAATAGTGGCGAATATCTGTAGCTCAGGTGTAGGATGAGGGTGAAGTTTCGTTGTGAGTTGTTTCTGAATATTTCATTATCAGGCTAGGTGATATCTTCAGCAGAATTTAGGGATGTCAGGTTTTCTTCTGTTTATAAGGGCTTTGTGTGGTCAGTAGGTCTTGTGATGGTGAGGTCACGTCAGGGGAGGGTCCCATCAGGTCAGGGTCTTGTGATAAGTTAGGTGCGTCACCAGTGAGTCTTGTGATGGCTCTTATGATGGGGGGAGTTTACATCAGGTGAGGAACATTGGGAGGTGAATTGCTGGTGGTGGGGGTTGTAGTAGTACTACTGATAAATAGGCTTTTGGAGTTAAAAGGACATGATCTGAGATTTGGATAACATGGATATTTGTGCTACAAGAAAGTCAAGATAAATGTGGACTTTAGACATTCTTGTTAGACGTGCCATATTGAGAGTAAGAAATAGATACCAAACATCGGTATCTTTGCTTGAAAACACTTTTGTGGCTTTAAAAAGCACAAAAGCATATTAAGAAGAAATAAGGAACCACAAATGGCTTTATGAGATATTAGAATGTTAAGAATGTGAAATAAAATCAAGAGAAGAACTGGTGGCAGAGGGATATACGTGTCATACTCTATAAGAATGTCTGAAGTAGAACCATAAAGTAGAATTGTGGACAAATTATGAACACACAATTGCTAAAAGATACACATTTTTATTAAAATTTGAAAAAAGTCATGCATGATAAAGTGGGGTAAAATTTTGGGTTATAACATAAAGATGGAACCTTACATTTGCATTAGGTTAGAGAATTTTTATAAAATGCAGCGTTGGTGTAGGTCACCAGAGAAAGCATCTAAATATATAAAGGTACTTCAAATTATTATTAATGTTCAAATTTGTGGAAATGTGAATGGACATTTTTAATGTTTGGTGCATATTTTCTTCTAGCATGTAAAAAAGCTAGAAAATTCTGGATTCAAATATATACACTGGTTCAGAAGTCTTTAAAGAGAGGAGACCCTTTATAGACTTATTCAATGAGATAAAATAGAAAAGCTGTAATTATAAAGAGTAAATTTATAATTTTACTTATAAGTACTGTAAAAGATGACAAGCTAACTTTGTATCTTTATTTCTAATTTCGTTTTCCCTTTCAGCTTTTTTTATTTTTATCGTGTGTGTGTGTGTGTGTGTGTGTGTGAATAAGACAAGACTATGGCGACTATGATTTGTTAACATACGAGCTGCTGTTTCATACCAATTGCAATTTTCGCATAGCCTTCAAAGGAAGACACATATAAAGCATATCCCAACAGGTGATAAGTACGAGGCCTCCTTGGTAGGTCTTTTAAATTACATATGCGATTTCTTTAAAGTCAACTTCAGTTCTTGAAAGCTGGAGAATTCTTCCTTTTGTGACTCCTGCATTTGACTGTTGGTAACTTGCTGATACATTAATGTAATTAACAATAAGACCAAAATTAGCTACCCGATCCAACCAAACAGATTTTTTGCAGTTCAAGCCAAGTTCAGCTAGGTGGTAGGCAATTACACAGCAATAATCAATGCAAGCCTGATTCACATCCAGAATTAGGTGGAATGCAGGGTACCAAAAAACCCAAATTAAATTTCTTCAAGGACAAATGGATGTCTGCACTTTATTCCCCAACAGGAATGTTTGCATGTTTCTTATGAAAAATAGAGCTTTCTTGATCAAATCAGATATATGCAACATAATTGCTGTCCCATATTTTGCTGAAAGAGTTTGTGCTTACCTGAAGCCTATTGTGAAGGAGTGAACAACATAATCTCCAAGATATGATAGGCCGGTTCTTCTGGATCCCTTCACTCAGCCTTTCTCCCATAATCCCTAATGTATCCTCCCACATGCCAGAGGAGAGCCTATTAACAGGCTCCACCACTTTCCCCAAAGCATCTCTCCAGTGATGAATTATTCAGAAATAGATAAAAATGGTGACTTCTCCCTCTTGTTTTTCTTTTTCTAGTCTAAGCAAATGGAGAGAGAGAGATGTGTGCTAGGCTCAAAATGTTTTAAAGACAATTCCGATTCAGTAAGAGTTCATGTCCTTATTATGCCAATCACCTCTGAGGGAGTTAGGAAATACGAAATATAAATATATTTTTACATCAAGATTGTATACTATTTTGGCAATGGTATACCTTTAGGCCAGGGGTAGTCAACCTTGGCTCTTTTATGACTCGTGGACTTCAACTCCCAGAATTCCTGAGCCAGCTAAGCTGGCTCAGGAATTCTGGGAGTTGAAGTCCACGAGTCATAAAAGAGCCAAGGTTGACTACCCCTGCTTTAGGCAGAGGGTTGTTTTGTAAAAAAAATTGTGGTTATTCTCAAACAGCTTCTTATAATAGTAAAACAAATTTGTGATAAGCTTGCAAAATAGAGAGTTTGTTCTGACTGCATTGTCCCTTTGCCCAAGGAAGACTGATCGGTTTTGAAAAAATGACCCAAGTCTAGGCTGTTCAGGACCTCCCCCCCCCCTCACTTGGGCATCCCTAACCCCCAATCTGCAAACTCCCTGTACTGAGGAGGTGGGAGCAAGTATATTGGGTTGAAATAAAAGGCTAAATAAGACCATATCCATTTATTTTCATTCAGAAAAAGAATGAAATGGCATTCAAAGTATGCCATTACATTTAAGCAGTGTAAGCCTGGAGGAATCCTAGAAGAAAACAAAAGACTGTAAGTACAACACAGTACTTAATACCTTTTGTTCTTGCTAGAGCACTGTTTACATTTGTAGAATCAGTTTGCTCAATTTGTAGCATATCCATATATTAAGCTTGTAACTTCAAGAAACTGAAGCACTCAAAAAACCCATTGTAACAAAATAAATTAGTTCAACTAGGAATAGGAAAAAAAACCTCAAAGAAATGCCAGTAATAGTGGAAAAATAATAAATCATGACCCAGATAAATGCTTGCTTTAGGAGCTGAGGGCAATATTCTTGTCCAGTGGCACATAGCTACATTGCTATTTACAATTCAGTTACTGTCTTGCAAAATTCTGATTGTAGAAAAACAATAGTAGAATTGAGAATTTAGAAAACGGAATTTATAAGCTATATGACATTATTTAATTTTCCACATGAACTGGGGCTCTTCAGATTTAATATTTCAGCTTTACAAATAGGGAGCATAGTATATTAAACCCACCCTATGTCCTTGGAGAATAGGGACCATATTCAAAAAGAGTTATAACATTGGACAGGAGCTCTAGACATCCCACTTCATTTAGGCTACTCTTAAAATTTCCAGGATATGGCTATACTGCTCACAAATTATCAACATTTCAACTTTTATCTCTCAATATATTAGCTCCCAAGTTAATAATTAAAATAATTTTAAAAAATACTACTGACAAATGTAGTTACATATTTATTGCATTACAGAAGCTTTAGTACAAAAAGAAAAAAAAATAGAATAGAGCGGTTTGTTAAAGCAGCTGCTTATCTTCCCAGCTCATTTCTGAAGGTAAGACATTACTCTGCACATCATATTTACATTAAGTTGTAAGAATTTGTCCAAAAAGTATGAAATCATTTCCTATCAGCAAGAAACTGGATTCTACACATAAATGTGTTTTACCTCACAGAATGCCATTTTTCTTTTATAGGGAGTGTATTATAATTTCCAGCAACACATAACAATCTCTTAAAAAGGAAATATTAAGTACAACGCTACAGAACAAACATCTATATTAATTTGCTCTTGTTTTTCATTATATACTTATTTCAAAGCAGCAAGAATTTGGAGCCAGCAGCAGACAAAAGAAAAAGTATCAGTCTGAAGATTTCAAGTCAATGCCCTCAAAAGTGCACCCAAGATATATAAAATAAAAAATAATTAAATTATTTTAGGAATTCCATTCTAGAAATCTGTATTTTAAACCAAGTCAGTAGTTATGGTGTTTAAGGGCTTTACGGTTTGTTTATATATGTTCAACAAGCATACTGTTTTTGAGTCTGTGTACTTGCTCCCCACCCCAGCAAACCACAGCTGTCTTCATGTAAAAGTCATGACTACCAGTTAACATTTTGCTCATACATGTTCTGATTTATTCCTACTACAATCCCAAGAAAATGTCTACTTATGCAAGTAGACGTAACACTGTAGAGCAGCGGTCCCCAATCTTTACTTGGAAAATGGTGGGCGCATGGAGCTTCGTGCATGAGCACGCTCGCCCACTGCTTACGCAATCTGGGGGCCACAGCCTGGGGTTGGGGACCTCTTCTGTAGAGGGATAAGTTGTTAAGAAAAGACAATCTTAATAGATAAATGTACAATTTAACAAGAAAACTGATACTTAGCCTGTTTTTTTCTACCAAGCTTCTTTTTTATTTTAATTTCAGGAAATACACCTTACCAAAATGGAGGGAAAGAGCTCCATGCACTAGAGGTCTAGGTGGACCAAATGAACTGTACCTCTTGAAAGAGAAGCTACTAAATTTGTTTAAAAAATAATGGACTGATCATTCGTAAGCATTTCAAATTTGCACTATCAACTAGTACTGCCTGCACCTTATGTTGTGAATGAACATTCATTCAGTATTAGCTACACAGGCATTGGGACTTAAGACTTAATTATGAAACAATTGTGGGCATACCTAAGTCATCCCTTCGGAAGGAACAGGATTGCCTCTGTCTATATAGTTTTGAGCCAGCAGTTAAGAATTTATTTGGAAGATTTATCTACAAGGTTAACTGATCACAAGAGGGTATCAACAGCTATTTCAATAGAGAGCACTGCAGTCCCACATTTTAAGTTCAATTATCAGCAAGAATGTCTTTAAAAAAAAACCAAGTAATTAAAATCCAGACACACCAGCACTGCCTTAGTTTACTTACATACACACACACATTATTACTCCTTCTCAGAAACACTGAACCCAATTGATCAATGACTGGCAGTATGTTCTCATGTATCGCAAAGGCCTACAACTGGAATTAGAAATATCAGTAAGTCAAAACAGTGGATCCTTCCAAGATAGTAGCACTGCTACTAAGCAATTCATAAAAAGGTACTTGAAATGGAGTGGGAGAAGATCAAGATACTAAGATTTAGCTTTTACTAAGCTTAACCCTTGGCTTCTATTTTCTTCCAAAAATGAAAAAAGAACTGGCCAAAATTATATATCTTCTAGTTCCACACATGACGCTTGCAGTGCTCAACAGCCTGGAAGAGAAAGAGGGAAGGAAGGGGGGGGGGGGAGAGAAGAGATATGCAAGGCATAATCAGAGGAAACATAATTTATATCAGGATTATGCACAGAGTGCCTGCAAGCCATTCCCAAAAATTTCTGGCATTTTATAAAGTTGCTGCTTATCAAATATTTACAACTTTTTCAACCAACATCATAGTTTTAGCTGGCTCAAAACTTAAGTCTGCCAAATCTAAACTGGAAAAAAATCTAGATAATCAGTAGATGGCAGGAAAGAGAGATAGAAACCATAATGCTTTGATGCCATCTAGTGGTCTGAATTTCCCACAGCTGAGCTCTCACAGCCTAGCCACAACTTGGGCTCCATCCAGCCTCCACTTACCTTTCCTGCTGTACTCTGAGCTATGATTTCCAGTTTATGCTATAATAATCACAAACGAATAAGGTTGACCCCTTATGAACAATCCTACTCGTGTCAGCTTAAACCATGGGATTTACGTCAAAGGGGGAGGGAGCTGTTCCAGAGGTGGAATGAGGGCCATTTTATTTCATTTTTAATTTTATTTCGCGTTCCAGCCAAATGTGGCACAGTAGTTAATACATTTCAAAGTGAAATTAAAAATTTCTTGAACAAAAACGTCTGCTTGCCATACACAGATAACAAAACAGGCACAAGGAATGCCTTCTTAGGGAAGAAACACATCGCATTGTGAGAGAGAGTACCATTCCAGGTAAATAGAGGTGCGAGGTAACCAGAAGAGTATCCCCTCTTTTGGATACTCCCTAGATGAAATTATGGTAAGCATTTTGGCCTGCCATACTGTGACCAAATAAAAACGTGATAACATTTTCCTCATTCATCCACAGTTTGACTTGGGTAAGATTAATTTGATAGCACAATACTGAAACAAATCAAGGAATTGCAAAAGGGAACTGGCATTATCTATAGACATTATTTTACTCTCACCAGGCTTTCTCTCCATTTCAATATCACTCTAGAATGTTTGTATCTGATATCAGGTACTTGGGTTCTGAGGGTACACTACCCATCCTCCTTGACCACCCAACTGACAGAAATGAGACTAGATTTGATCTTCTCCAGAATATTCAAGGCAGGATTGCCATGATTACAGCAATTTACAACTTCATGGTCTATCCCCAGAAGCTAGTTGATTCCAAAGGATGCTGGACAACTTTCCAGCTTACGTGCAGGTGCTCCTCTTGAAGCCTGGATTAAGATCCATGAAGCCGTGGACAATGGGGATGACCTGGCCATGTGACATGACTGATTCTGGACATTCTGCATTCTCTTTTGCTATGCACAATCCATTTAGTTTCTTAGTATATCCCTCCACTGACAACAAAGCAGGATTAGAGAATGCAGACAGAAGAAAACTCGTATCTAAGGGAATAGCTAAGAGCTCGTTACTGAGCTTATTCAGTACAGACAATGGAAGAGAAGCAAAAACATTTCATTCTTTCACTATTGCATCCTGCTCTGATACTCTCTCATATTAGAGATGTGATAGACAAGCCTTTTCAATGGCAAGCTTATCGTTTTGGAATGAACTCTCCAGTAAATATATCAGGGTCCACATTTTTTTATGTAGTCAAATAGGTTTTTATTCTCAAAGGCATTTTAATCCACAAATGTGTTCATTTTAAACACATTTGTTGTTTAGAAACTTTTTTAATTACTCAGGATTCTCTATTTACTTGTTTTGGTGTTACAGCCTTCTTCAAAAAGGCAGAAACTAGTTTTTTGTGGCATTCACCAATCCCAAATGGTGACAATTAATTTTAGGCGTATAAGCTGCACCCCTGCTGTGTCACTGTAGCACTGGATCTTGCTCATGCCTTCTAGTGGTGCTCCTGCTTTGTAAAAAAAACTTTCCCATATTAGCTGACATAAGGAAATGCTGCTTGTTGGGTTTCTGTCTCTATCTACATGTCTGCTCAGAAGTATACAAAAATACTTACATTGCACTGAGATGCAGTTTCCATGTTCTTACACCAGTACCCTGGTCCTCGGACACACAATTCCGATCCCAAAAGAGGTTTAGTGGATGCTGAGCAAACTCCAAGTTTCTGTAAAGTGAAAGATAGTAACTGCAGTTTACTGTTTCACTGTAATAAAAGCGTGATCAGTCTGTTCATTTATTAGAATTTCTACAAAGAATGCTAAAGGAACCAAAGAAAACTCTGTCGTTGCAACGGACAAGTTATGCCTTGGTTGAGTGTAAGGGTCAGAAAATAAGATAAGAACAAACCCCAGCTTTTCGAAGGGCATTTTAGCAAATGTTAGAACAGCACTGGAAAAAGTAACTTATGACCGTTTTTCATACTTATGACTGTTCCAGCATCCCCAGTCACGTGATCAAAATTCAGATGCTTGGCAACTGACTCACATTTATGACGGTTGCAGTGTCCCGGGGTCATGTGATCATCTTTTGCGACCTTCCGACAAGCAAAGTCAATGGGGAAGCCAGATTCTTATTCTTATTTTTCTGTTTTAATTTTGCATTTGCGATTTGGATTAGATAAATCCAGAATAAATAAATCACTTTAAGATAAAAGCATTATTGAGTTTTCTATGGCACCTGCTAGTCCATAAATAGATTTGAGTTGTGATAGTAGATACCTACAGTGAGGGAAAAAATTATTTGATCCCTTGCTGATTTTGTACGTTTGCCCACTGACAAAGAAATGATCAGTCTATAATTTTAATGGTAGGTTTATTTTAACAGTGAGAGACAGAATAACCCCCAAAAAAAAAAATCCAGAAAAATGCATTTCAAAAAAGTTATAAATTGATTTGCATTTTAATGAGTGAAATAAGTATTTGATCCCCTTATCAATCAGCAAGATTTCTGGTTCCCAGGTGTCTTTTATACAGGTAATGAGCTGAGATTAGGAGCACTCTCTTAAAGGGAAGGTTGTTTACCTGTATAAAAGACACCTGAACACAAAAGCAATCAATAAATCAGATTCCAAACTCTCCACCATGGCCAAGACCAAAGAGCTGTCGTGGGATGTCAGGGACAAAATTGTAGACCTACACAAGGCTGGAATGGACTACAAGACTATCACCAAGCAGCTTGGTGAGAAAGTGACAACAGTTGGTGCGATTATTCACAAATGGAAGAAACACAAAATAACTTGTCAATCTCCCTCTGTCTGGGGCTGCAAGAGCTCACCTCGTGGAGTTTCAATGATCATGAGAACGGTGAGGACTCTTGTCAACGATCTCAAGGCAGCCGGGACCATAGTCACCAAGAAAACAATTGGTAACACACTACGCCGTGAAGGACTGAAATCCTGCAGCACCCACAAACCCCCCCTGCTCAAGAAAGCACATGTCAGGCCCGTCTGAAGTTTGCCAATGAACATCTGAATGATTCAGAGGAGAACTGGGTGAAAGTGTGGTCAGATGAGACCAAAATTGAGCTCTTTGGCATCAACACAACTCGCTGTGTTCAGAGGAGGAATGCTGCCTATGACCTCAAGAACACCATCCCCACCATCAAACATAGAGGTGGAAACATTATGCTTTGGGGATGTTTTTCTGCTAAGGGGACAGGACAACTTCACCACATCAAAGGGATGATGGACGGGGCTATGTACTATCGAATCTCCTTCCCTCAGCCAGGGCACTGAAAATGGGTCGTGGATGGATATTCCAGCATGACAATGACCCAAAACACACAGCCAAGGCAACAAAGGAGTGGCTCAAGAAGAAGCACATTAAGGTCCTGGAGTGGCCTAGCCAGTCTCCAGACCTTAATCCCATAGAAAATCTGTGGAAGGAGCTGAAGGTTCGAACTGCCAAATGTCAGCCTCAAAACCTTAATGACTTGGAGAGGATTTGCAAAGAGGAGTGGGACAAAATCCCTCCTGAGATGTCTGCAACTACAAGAAACGTCTGACCTGATTTCTGATTTTTTTTTGTTATTCTGTCTCTCACTGGTAAAATAAATTTATCATTAAAATTATGGACTGATCATTTCTTCGTCAGTGGGCAAATGTACAAAATCAGCAGGGGATCACATAATTTTTCCCTCACTGTAAGTATTTAAATGCCAAGTCAATATTTATTTAATGGTACATACAGTGAAGTGTAGTTCATAAGTAAATATTCTAACTTGCAGTACTTACATTGCACACAAAAGTAGGATCCATCATTTCTGCCAGAAGCGCCACAACTGTTGGCTCATAGTCCTTCACAAACTGGACACACTGTTTATAGCAAATAAAGCATCAATGAGAAATGGAATAGGATCATTTACCAATTGATTATGTAACTTAGATGGAAACTTTTGAATTTAAGAGCCTTTTGTTATACCAAGTGCCACCTAGCCAGCCAAAGCTACTATTGATTTCAATGAGATATTTGATATGTGCTAGATTTTCACAGTTAAGTTTGCAGACCTAATCTAACCACATAACGTATTTGTTACAAAGTTAAATACATCCTCTCATTTAGGAACCAGAATCTGGTCTTTCAATTGGAAGTGAAATGGTTGTCCCAAAGGTGTTTTTTTCAGGAGGCAACTAGACTTTTCTTGTGTTTCTTTTGAGGACGTTTCGCTTCTCATCCAAGAAGTTTCTTCAGCTCTGACTAGATGGTGGGGAGTGGAAGGATTTATATTGCTTGCAGACAGATGGTCATATGAAATGGTTGTAAAGAAATGTGTGTGTGTGTGTGTGTGTGTGTGTGTGTGTGAGAGAGAGAGAGAGAGAGAGAGAGAGAGAGAGAGAGAGAGAGAGAGAGAGAGACAGGGAAAGAGAGAGAGAGAGGGAAAGAGAGAGAGAGAGAGAGAGAGACACAATGAAGACTGCTAGTTGCTGCCACCTCATTTAGATAAAAGTTATTTCATACTGTGTCCTGTGCCTGATCCATTTCCCCCTTTTTTTTTGCAGGACAAAGAGATTGCTTAAAACAAGCTAACTTTTCCTGAGCCGCTTTTCTCCACTACATAGCATTTCCCTAAAAAGTAATAACTACAAGTTTCATAAGCTCAGCTATGTGACTGCAATTACAGGTAGACTTTTGTATAATGTTCAGTTACGGTTAGACATTATGATGGCACTGAATCAGAGGGATTTATGACTTGTCCTTATAGTTGCAACTGTTGCAGAATTCCTATATTTGATTACCGTCTGCAATCTTCATTGCCAGCTTCTGATAGGCAAAGTCAACGGGAAAGCCAGTAAGAGGTCAAAGTACAAAGCCAGTAAGAGGTCAAAGTACAAAGAGGTCAAAATACAGGATTTGCCTAACAATAGCAACTAGAACTGCCAGATCTGCCACTGCACATTAGCGAGGTCATGTGACATTGGCCTGTAGAACTATGTTGCTTAGGAACAAAGTTCCAGGTCCAATTACTGTTTGTAAGCAGGACTACCTGTGGGTGATTAGAACATTGGCTCCTGCCTGAAACTGACCAGACCTCAATTGGTTTCAAACTGAAGGCTTTTGATAACAGGCCACGAAATCTGATGGTACACACTGCATCAATTCTGAGTTTTGTTGTTATTACTGTCATAGTTGCAAACAATCACTAAGCAGGGAATGACTGTGTACAGAATTGGTATAGAAGTATATAAATTAAAATGCATCCACTGATTCTTGGACACAAATCCATTGGAGCATCATAGAGACAGGTGAAAAGCAAAGGAATATTTCAAATTCTTAAGCATCATGCTTGTGGCTTGCAACTTCAGAACAGCTTATGTTATGAAATACAAACAGGACCTCGCTTATTCTACAGTACATCAGCTTCTTTTAAAGCACAGAAGTGATCTATTCCTCAAAGAAGCAACCCCAATGTTACAGCTCAAGGCAACTGTTTACTTATGTTAAGTATTAAATTTTGAAAGTGTCATCATAACAGATGCAATCTAACCCAATAAAATGGTCTGTTTTCACAACACTATGCAATGATTTGAAAGAACCCATACTCCATTTAATCCTCCAGGGAAAGATGGAAGGCAAACGAGGTCCAGGCAGAAGAAGAACATCGTGGCTTCAAAATCTAAGAGACTGGTTTGGACAAAACTCAGCAGCACTTTTTCGTGCGGCTGCTGATAAAAACATGATCGCCAACATCCGATAACAGATATGGCACAAGAAGAAGAACTCTAACATGCTGGAACTTAAAAGTGTCCAGCTTGAGAATGGTTGTGGAGGTCATTACAAAGTAGCAGTCATTTATAACTGTACTCTTTCTGCTTTCACTGATTAACTTTTCAGAAGAATTCATTCACAGCACTGCAGTTTTAACACACAATAGCACATTAGTTACCTGGTCGCTAACAGACTCTGGTAAGTAGTGGCAGACTCGTTCCAGAAACATTTCAATCTCAGCAGTGGTAGCATTCTTTGCTAGTTCCTTGTCTGCATAAGCAACAATCATCTTGCACACATCACAGATATTTCCCAATTCTGATTGCACTGGAACAATTTCTTCTGAGAGTACACAAAGCAAAGGTCTTTATGTCAAGTTAATTTCTATTACATAACTGAATAAAAAAAAGCAATATTGGAAAAGTAAAATCCAAATCAAACATAGGAGCATTGATTATGTAACAAAGGATTATTCAAGTTCTCACCAGCTGGTAAAATGTTATTTTTGCAGCATCTCAGCATCACACACACCATTTTAGGACTAGTTGCTTCCAACAACATGTCAAGAATAGACTTCCCGTAAACTTCCACAAAGTCCTTGCACTCCTCTCTGCTTTTTTCAGGTAGCACTAAACAGACTTTCTCCATTCCATGTATCATCTCCTCCTAAGTACAAAGATAATTACTTTGAGACTTACAAGTTTAATCATCACAAGTCCTCTAGGCATCTGGTCAAATTAGCAACATGCAAAGTAAGTATAGTATGGTTCAATGGCACATTGAAATGGAGCATTAAAAATCATAATTTACAAAATAAGCATGGGTTAAATATTATTTATTTGAAATGAATAAAGTAGGTATTCATTTTGTATCACAAGAACATTGCAAGATGAGCTCCTCTGGTGATCCTCATCCATATATAGGATGCCACCGCAAAGAAAGCCATTTTGTCAGAAGCCACCTGTCCATATTTGATCAAATTAGATAGAGCACAGCTCTTGGAGAGCAAACTGTATTATAACAGGTAATATTAGCAGTCTAATATATTTTGTGGAACATGCATACCTCCGTCTTATTGCTTTCCAGAAGGCTGGCCACCTCTTCTACCATGATAGTACATACTTCACAGAGAGAGAATGCTTCCTTTTGACTCGGGTTGGTCTATACATTTCAGCAAAAAGAATTATTTGCAGTAGTTATTATTACAAAAAACCAAGACATCCACAGCTACAGAAATATGAGACAGTAGTTTGACGTACTCTGAAGTATATTTTGGGTCATTGGAAATTGGACCTGACAAGAAAGGGTTACCTCTATCTCACTAGTTAAGAAGGCAAGGCTTAAAACTTCCTCCTGTCACCTGAAGGAAACTCTCTACTCATATTCTGACTTCAGTGTTGGATATTCAATTGTTAACCATTAAATTAGCAACTACTACGGTATCCGTACAATGGCTAGCACAATGCAATAAAAAAAAACTTAGGTGTCAACCCTTGGGCTACTTCATTTCTTTCTAAATTAGGGTAGGACTGTAGACCCTCTCTTCTAGTGTCCAGAAACGTTATTCACATTGACCCAAGTTTCCATTCTCACTCATTTCAACATGAAAAGAATATTATAGCAGCACTATTTCCACAATGGGCCAATATCATAAATCATGGCACTCCCTGTAACTCAGTGAAGGTAAGTCCATGCCCAAGGGAATAAACATTTATCTATTTGATAGTGCTTTATAAGGATTACAAATATGTATTAATGGTAACCATTGCTATTATGGCTATTGACAAAAGTTCTACATTTATGGGGTCTGCTGTCAATAGGAAGGAAGGGCTGCTCTTCCTGGCTACACATGCCAGGTAATGTATTCTTTGACACTCTGCTAAATGTGAAACAGGAAAAAAAAATCCTTTGATTTTCTTCTTTGTAAGAGACAAACAATTGACCCATTATCCCTTTGAGGTACTTTTAGGGTATATTCTCAGAGTCTTACTGCAGCCCCAGCTAGAGCCAGATGCATTCATTAGAGAAGATTTGGCTTGAGCAGACGTTCGGTAGCATACCCTTTTGTGCTAGATGAAATGTGGATCTGGCCTGAGTTTAAAGCAGGGGGGAAACCAGCCTTAAAACCACTTCATCCAGGTGGAGCACAAACAGATCCCCACCGGAAGACACCTATGGAGGCCAACTTTTCAAGTCAAGGTTAAGGCTAGCAAAATGGCTGACCACCAAGAAAAAAAAATATTAATGATTTTTTTTTTTAAATGATACAAATGGTCAAGACCCACGGAAAGAAACTAAATCACTGGAAGTGAGAGGAGAGTCCAAGAATGCCATGCCACCATAGATACTCTGCTTGTTCATACAGTAGTTTATTTCTCCAGGCCTTAGGAACCCCCAGTTCAGGGATCCTTGATGCTGGTGCCACTACTTTTAGTTTTTGCATCACCAGAGGGTTAAGTCAACTGAGATCTTGATGGTAATTGTTTTGGGGCCAAGATGGTCTCAGTGGAAGACTAGCCAAGATTAGACTCTTAATAGCCCATAAGAGCCATTCAGAAATGGTTTTGTTCAAATGTTCAGGCTACCATGAGTCTAAAGTGCATTACTGAGCTTTGGGACAGGATGTCCAAGCATTTGTGATGAAAATGTCATATTTCTGGATCTTTTTGTTCTATATCATTTTATTCTAACTTATCAGGAGGTTCTCTCTGTCATTGTTTCTTAGATTTTCTCTCCTTTACCATCTCCAGGCTTCTGATCTCTCACTTAGATCCATAAAAATAATCACATAAGTTAGAGCTTTTCACTATTTACGATGCTCATCTCCTTCTTGCTTCTGTAAATGACATTCAGATAACTAAGTACTAAGTCTTACCTCAACTGGCTCTATCTTTGCTGGAGAGATAACTTTAGCAGGCACCAGAGCTAGGAGGGGTGTAGATTTCAGAGAAGAACATAATCCTATCGTATTACAAATATCCTGTGGTTGCTGAAGACATAAAACATCAATGTAAGTTACTTCTATAGTCTACAAGGTAGCAAATTAGTTTTAACATCGCTCTAATTTCAGGAATGTAAAAACAGCCCCAAATGCCATGGAATAGTATAGACATTATTATTTGCACATGAAATAAAAAATGTGTTTTGTTTCAAGCCCAAAACATGGTGTGTCTCTGAAGTTCTGCCAAACTGTTCCAGACAAGCGGTGGTTCAGTAGAACCAAAAGATAGAAAGTTTTGGTTGTTTCAGGTTTCAATCAAATCAAATCCATATTGGTCTTACAAAATTGACTAATTTTTGCTTCGTTCTCTCCTCTTTCTATGTGCAGTCAAAAAACTGACCTCCCCATTCTACCTAGTGTCTTTCCTTACATCTGCCACCCATGACTGAGATTGTTCTTGCTTTGTACCTCTCTCAAACATTTCTCCTTTCAACATAATGCTTCGGTATATGTCCAAAAGAAAAATGCACGCTTTTGTCTGGATATGGACCATCCCAAACTAGTTGTTAATCTGAAAAAAAATGGTTTACATATAGCTTGTTTTGTATATCCTTAGATGTTATGTATGCTTTCAGGTTGAATTTTATTCAATTTTGGCACTTCTATTCCACAGCAGGACAAGTTATTTTTAAGTTTAATCAAAGAACTTATTTCAGCAACTTGCATGTGCCCACAACTGATTTTTTCTTACAAAGCTAAATACTTTAGAACAAATAGTAGTGTAGATTATGTGTTCTTCCTGATGTTTCATAACTGTCCCTTGGTGCAGTATTAAAAAAAATTCAGTACTTCAATGAAACATGAGTGTTCTACAAGATACATGCAGTCATTTTGCTAAATTCTATTATATTATTATAATTTTTTAGCAGTCATTCATCTATCAGAACCATGACACATTCAGTGCCATACAAAAAAACAAACCCTAATTTCTTTTCAGTTAGTATTTCACATTAACAGTTTAAAAACAATCTCTAATTTATAACCCTACAGCACGGGTGTCAAACTCGTTGTGACATGTGACGTGTTGTGACATATCGTGACTTTTTTCACATTGCCAGAGCTGGGGTGGGCACGGCCTCCACATGATGCAACCGGCCTGTGGGCCGGCAGTTTGACACACCTGCCCTACAGGAAGAGAAGAGGCTAGTCTAGACCAGGGGTCCTCAACCTTGGCAACTTTAAGACCTGTGGACTTCAACTCCCAGAATTCCTCAGCCAGCTTTGCTGAGATGAGATGAGAAAACAACGGCTCTTTAAATATTGAACTACAGTTCCTGCAACATTCCTCACTACAGGCTGGCCGGGCTGCTGCAAATAACAATATCACAGGGCTCCCAGCTACCCTATAGCCCAACTAAACCAGTTACAGGTAGTCCTCAACTTACAGCCACAATTGAGCCCAAAATATCTGTTGGTAAGTGAGACAGTTGTTAACTGAGTTTTGCCCCATTTACAACCTTTCTTACCACAGTTGTTAAGTGAATCACTGCAGTTGTTAGTAACAGTTATTAAGTGAATCTGGCTTCCCCATTGACTTTGCTTGTCAGGTTTCAAAAGGTGATCACATGACCCCAGGATACTACAACTGTCATGAGATCAGTTGCCAAACATCTGAATTTTGATCATATGACCATGGAAATATTGCAACAGTCATAAGTGTGAAAAATGTCATGAGTCAGTTTTTTCAGTGCCGTTGTAACTTCGAACAGTCATTAAACAAACTGTTGTATGTCAAAGACTATCTGTATTCAATTGAATATATTTCAAAATTTCCTAATCACTTTTGAATGCAAATATGGCCCACATCTTAAAGAAATATAAGACAAAGTGTATTCATACGATTTCAAGAGTTCACATAATTGCTAAATATTTGTAGCAGCTGTAGTTTTACCTTTCAGAAAAGTCTCATTGATTTATATAACTTTATACCTATTAATCCTTCATAAAGGAGTTGCCTGTCCCAAGAATTCCTTCCCCTGCAGATAGCTTAACATCTGCAGGAATAATTTTAACTCCTCCTACCTTCTCCTACCAAATAGCAAACCAAAACAAAATTTAACTACGAGGAAGTATGTTCTTTAACTAAATAAACTAAATAAATCTTTCGTTTATTTTGATCACTGGTGTCAAATCTGAAAACTATATCAGTAGCTTGTCTTTTGAAAGTGATTTGGAATAAATGTTTCCTTCAAGGGAATTTTTAGAACTGGCTATTTATGGGCCAAGATCACTATTGTATCCAAGATCACTATTGTATTTATGGGCCAAGATCATTATTGTATGAATTCTCAAGGTTTTAACTACTGGTATGGTCATTTTATAGTTGCTGTAAGTTGCTCATTTTACTTGATTATGAAGTGAAGTCTACAGAAACGGAAGACCAACAAGGCCTGACATTTTCCAAAGTTTAAATACTTTTGTTGGCTCAGGCTTCTAGAAACAAAGTAGTTTAGAAATTCCTTTTTCTTCCTGCTCCCCATTTCTTACAGAAATCAATAGCAGGTGGTTTTTGGCTCCCATGAATTATTCTTTTTTTTCCCCTCCCACAGAGAAACCAGGAGAAGAAACTGGAAGCATTCTTTTCTGTTTGCGTAACTAGTTTGCTCTCATGTCTACTCTCGAACTGTGGTTTTTGACTAAAGCAGTTTTGGCCACAAACTAATTTGCCAGGCCTGAACCAAGTAACAAGCTACAATTAATCTGACGGCAGTGAAAACTCCCTATGACTTCTTTATTAATAAGGAAATAACATGAAAAGGGATTTTGTAGGGCCATTATCTCATCCATAGCTATGGATTACCGTAATATCTGAACAGGTTTATTAAACAGGACTTATGAAAGACATGAGAGCCAGTTTTGATATAAGTGATTAGGTTTTAGTCCCGTCTTAGGTACAAAGCCAGTGGGATGACCTTGGGCCAGTAACTCTCTTCTAGGCTTAGAAAGAAAGCAATAACAAAGCATTTTGGAAAAGCCTTGCAAGACAACTCTAGTCTAGCTATCGCCAAAAATAAAAAACTGACTCAAAGGCAGAAAAGATACAGCATTTAGCTTTTATAAATAGAAGGTAACAGTGGTTTAGAGAACGAGTGTCAAAGCATGCACTTTTCCCAAAAGTTTTCCTGTGAAAGCATATCATAGTTATATATACTGCTCAAAAAAATAAAGGGAACATTTTACCATGGAACTGAAGGGGTTTGCGTTCCCTTTATTTTTGTGAGCAGTATATATGAGTTTCCAGATCATCTTTGAAGTAGTTCAATCATTCTTTTCTCCCATAAAAAGAGATGCTTCCATACCACTTACATACAAAAGCAAATATACTAAAGTATGATGCCATCTCTACATAGGCCACCTTCTCATTTCACTCTTTTCCTCATTAAGGCATACGAAAGTTGGCAAAAAAACCCCACCACAGCTCGAGTTATAAATACATGCAACATGCAATTGCCAACCAAACCATGACAGGTGCAAGGTCCAAAGAGGTTTATTTAGGAAGCTCAATCTCTCTTCTCAAATCATATCCTAAAACTATCTTGATCATTATGGCTTCAGGCTTTGTAATATTTTCTGTGCATTAATTTTAGTTTCAAAGCCAGGTGGGTCAAGCAGGCCTCATAATCTGCTTCAGAATGGCCAAGGTTTCATTTTAGACTAAAAAATGATTCTTTCCACAGCCACACTGTCCCTTGAATCTGTCAAAAATATCACATTTATCAACTATATTAGCAAGAGATCAAGGAACACTCTCTAAGTGGGGGAGGAGGTTTCTCACATACCTGCTCTTGCTGTTGACAGGATAGAGAAAAAGAAACACAAGAGAGTTAACAACTGGAAATCAATCAAGTATCTAAATGGTTCACACCACAACTTTTCATGCAAGTGGGAAGGGCCAATTAACAATATAATGATTATTTTTACAAAATAAAATTTGTTCAATGGTTATATATTCCAAATGGGCATTAGACAACTGAATGCCCTATGAAAAATGTTGTGATGCAGTCAACCCTGTACAATTCCCAGTATGAATATTATTTTGTCCTTATTACCATATTCTTATAGGTATCAAGATAAATAATTTCAAGAACTAAAAAAAATGCAGCCTAGTGGTACAACAGGATAGTTAGTAGATAATTAGTCCAAGATAACTTTTGATGCTATCAGACCTAGTTAAGATATTTGCTATAATAACTCCAATGACACATTTTTTATATTTTTGGAGCAAGATAGTAAAATATAGGCAATGTTAATCTTACCATGTGCATGATCATCTGAATAGCCAGGGAGGAATACTCAGAAATGTAGGTTTTGCACTATTGAAAGGAAAAGAAACATTGGGGATGGATGTTATTACTATATTTCTTATGTACTGACTTCAACTAAAATATTTGGTGTGTGTATGTATGTATGTATGTATGTATGTATGTATGTATGTATGTATGTATATGTGTATACACACACACATGTTTATATATACAATATGGAGGGAGGCATACATAATTGCCATCTTACATTTCTCTCGTGACAATTAGGATATTAAAAGGTGGCAGCTCATCCAGAGTTATTCTGTAATACAAGCTTGGATTCAAATTTACACAATCCCCTTAAAGTTGTCCTTACACATTCTGTACAGACCATAAAATTTACTTCATATAGTCAGAATCAGATTTTTCATTTATATTACTTTTAAAGATGGCAACTTAATTTCTAAATTGACAAACTTGAGGAAATTAAAATGCCAAGCCAATGTACTGTATTTGCCACTAATATTAAATTAATAATACTAAGTAAAAATTACCATTCCAGACAGGGTAGGAGCCAAACGTTCACACTCTTCCTTGGCATGTTCAATTAAAGAACTAACAAAAGTTGAATTGTTTCTCACAGCATCCTGAACATCCGTTATCAGCTGAATACAGTCATTACACACATTTCCACTTCCCTGCAAGTTAAGCATGAAGCAAATCTTAACAATATCGTAATATTGCAATAACAGATAGCTATATATATATTTTTTAAATTAATAATATCTTACACACTCCATGCCTTCAGGCACTAGAAAACATCTTCTGTAAAATCTGCTGACAATACATTGCTGGTGAGATTTTAGATCAGCGGTTCTCAACCTATGGGTCGCGACCCCATTTGGGGTCGATCGACCATTTCACGGGGGTTGCCAAGCAAGGCTGTCCACCATTTTTTTCCCCTTTTCCGGCAGGTGCCTTACCTCCCTTGGGCTGGGCCACCTGGTGGTCGACCTGCTCCGTCTCTGCCGCTTGCCAGCTACGCCTCGGCCGGAGCAGGGGGCGGAACCACGCATGTGCGGCGCTCCCGGGCAGGGAAAGTCCTTGACTTACGACCAGTTGGGTAGTCCTCGACTTACGACCAGTTTAGTCCTCGACTTACGACCGGTTGGGGGTCGCGACATTAAAAAGGTTGAGAACCACTGTTTTAGATGAATCTAGTTATATTAAGTAGTTTAGACAATTTTACCCTGCAACATTCTGACTTGTGCCCTTTCTTTTTCTGTATCACTGCATCAGGTATTTCTAACCTAACAAGATTTAGTAAAGTTATACTGGGAACAGCAATATGTTTTATTCAGAATCAGCACTAGTAAGATTTCCAAAACAAGAATTCAGAGGAAAAGCATGTAGTCTTGTTGCACTAGATCATATTTAATAATGGATTTTAGATGCATTATGTCCACTTGTTCATTTACCTCTCAAAATACTGAGTTAACCACAATTGTTTATACTTTCTAGAGTTTTCCTAATGTTACAATAGTATCATTTAATTGGTTTAGTTAGAATGCACGATACAAGTTTAGGACTAAAGAATCATAGTTTTTGCATTAACACCACTTGAAGGCTGTGAGAGGCATACACGATTCACCAATGTATTTGCATATTGAAAGTTTCTTCTTTATTGTTTCTGATTAAGGTAATGGGTTTAGAGGAACAGTTTTACCTTTGGATATTTATGAGTTTCTTTATTCAACTGTCAGCAAGATTAAAAGTTAATAGCAACTATAGATGTTATTAGCAGCCCTAATAGCCCATTTTCAGTTTTAAATTCCCACCTGTGTTTCTTTCTTAGGTTTATCCTGAGGATAAAGAAGAAGTGGCACATTAGCCATGAATGGAGATGCCAGCTCAGAGAAATCTAGTTCCGGAATTTTGTTGGACTGAAGCTGGTTTTGTAATTTTACTTTTCCCAGGTGCTTCTGAAGAGACTGACATAGTGTGAGTGCACTGCATACAACTCCAGGATCTTCCTAAAGAATAGAAAATCACACAAATTTATTTATTTTTATCTATGCCAAATATGGTAGAAGCTATGCAGCTAAGTACCCCTGAAAACCAGATAATCAAATCTTCCAGAATCATTAGACTTCTTACTATTCAATGTTTTCCCAAGATCCTTGCTGCAGAGAATTCTGGAATATTGAGTTAAGTAAGAAAAATGTAAAACCCACTAATTTTGTCCAGTTTATTAAAAAATTATAAAATCAGTTGCTTTGGTAGCATTAGTGAATACTTACAAGTTCTGATCTGACCATATCCAAAATATTTGGCAAATAAGAATCCACTATGTCCTTACACTGCTCTATCAGGTCTGATTCAGGAAGAAATTCACACATTTTGTTGAAATATTCATCTATTTCTTCCTATAACAGAAGATAGATAGGTTGTATAAACATAAAGGAACATTTTCCCAGCTTTCTCATTCAGGAAGAAATAAATGCTCAATTCCTAAATCACATTATAGAGAGATATGGGCAACATTTTTGGGTTGGGTGTCACAACGCCTGCTTATTAGTCAGCAGGATACAAGAAGTCTTCTAGCAATGTGATACATTAAAAGAACAGGCAAGACTGAACATTTTCAACCTTCTTAACATAATTTTGGGGAAAAAATTAAAGGCAGTAATGGGAGCATTTCACCCAAAAGTTGCTTTGCATTCCTATTCTCATCTTTCAAACAGAAAATGTTATGCCCAAACTGGTTATTTTGCCATTAAATTTTGGTTACATGATTTTAGCTATATATTACCCATCTCTGTTAGATTCTATACTAGGGGGGATTACCGTAGTACTTTCTACAAAAAGTAACATTAAATACACTGTGAAAGTAAGCATAGGCAAAACTTTACAAAGCATCATATAAATATTCAGATGATTTAATTTTTGACATCAGAGGAGAAGCAGAGATAGTTTTGTATAACTGATGATCAGTCTTCTACTATGCAATGGAAGGATTTAAAGGATTTTTTATACTGCATATCTGATTAATATCTTTCTAAGGCATGAGCTCATTTTTGTACTAATATGAAAAAATATAGGCCTAGGAGCTCCCACTAAGAATGAATGCAATCCAACATTGGCATTTTAATATCAAAATACCCCTTCAATTTTAGGAAATACGTTCATGGTAAACCTTGGTTGAAGTGCATATTTCAACATAGTGGCGGCTCCCATTTTTAGATCCTGCACTTTGCTTCTCGATTAAAAATATTGGATTTTTTTTAAAAGAAAAGAATTCTTACCATTGTATCATTGTTCTTTAAGAGCTTTCCAACCACTCGTATAATTTCTTTGCACAAGTCACAGGGAATACTCTCCTGAGGGGAAAAAAAGACCATTTTGATAAATAAAATGACATTTAATTTTTAGACAGATAAAGTATAATCTAATATTTTTAGAACAGGCCTGTCATTTAATTTGATTTTAGCATAGAAATTATTTATTTATTATTGTGGTTTTAGTATCGCCTGTTCACCGCCCTGAGTCCCGTAAGGGAGATAGGGCGGTATATAAATTTAATAAATAAATAAATTTAATAAATAAATAATGAAAATCCAGTTAAGACAGTCCTGCTGCAGATACTACTTAGATGTACAGTGTTATTCAAATTCTCTAGCTCATATGCTGTACAAATACATTGTTCCCAACCTTTCTAGGCCAGTGCTCCAGATGATATTGAAAATGCTATTTAGTATAATTTTTATTAATGATTTTTAAAAGGAAGATAAGAATAAATGCAACTAATATAAAGTAAGAAAAAGAAAATAAAAAGAAATCAAGGAGAAAGCTAAAAGTGTAAGGAAGGGGAGGGGAAAGAAAAAAAAAGAAAAAGTAGTTCCGAATCTTCTTTATAGCAGTTACAAGTACAATGAAAAATTTACCTCTTACTCCATGGTTACAACATAATTCTCTGCTTTCTATAATTGATCCTATCTAATCATCAAAACCATAAATCATAAGTTCATTTTTCCTATTTTACACAAATAGTCCATAACGGGTGTCCAATCAGCAATAAACATAGATAACGCTCTTTTCTCTGATCAAAGAAGTCCATTTAGCCATCTCAACCATTTCTGTCATCTTTACCAACAATTCCTTCATTATGGATTGTGCCAAAAATGTTCTCATGAGATTGCCTATTCAGAAAATGATTAGTAGAAAATAAAAAAATTGTATTTGAAGAATAAGCCATGAGAGTAGAAACAGAGTAGCAAACTGAGGACTAAACATATTTAAGAGCTTATTAATGTTGCACTTGATATGCTTCCAAATCAAATATTCTGCACACCTTTAAAAAATAAATTCAAAACACAACAATAATCACCAGAAGTTATTATGTTTTTTTTCATTGTCTTGCCAAATAAATCTTGTCTAATTTTTTCATTAGGCAGTTTACTTTGAACTTTGTGGAACTGCAAATTGAGGGATGTAATAAGTATTAATTTCAATAAAACTTCTGACAAAATATTCCACATTCTGATTAATAACCTAATGAAATGGGGTCTAAGCTGCATAATTGTCTCAAGATTTTGTTGAAATATTCATCTATTTCTTCCTATAACAGAAGATAGATAGGTTGTATAAACATAAAGGAACATTTTCCCAGCTTTCTCATTCAGGAAGAAATAAATGCTCAATTCCTAAATCACATTATAGAGAGATATGGGCAACATATCTCTCTATAATGTATTGGCTAACTATCGCCCAGTCTCCAACCTCCGCTTTGTGGCGAAGGTTGTTGAGAGTGTGGTTGCACAGCAGTTTCCTCGGCACCTGGAGGAAACAGTCTATCTGGACCCCCTCCAGTCGGGCTTCAGGCCGGGTTACAGCACGGAAACGGCATTGGTCACGTTGGTTAATGATCTCTGGAGGGCCCGGGACAG